CCTGGAAAAACGACAAACTCGCGCGTGCATTTGCTACATGCTCGCGTACTGGCATGCGAGGTGAAACCACCAACCTTCCGAGCAGCAGGTATATCGCAGGTAACGTTAAGCAGAGCTGCGCGAATCCGTGTGCCTTGTGGTTCTTGGAATGTGCTCATTTCAATGCCATCGTACAGAGCAATGAGATCGTCGACTAATGGCTCAAGGTAGTGGTTCATCTCATAGGTCTTCGGCTCACTTGGTCCAGGCATAACACCTACAAGTATGACGTTCTCAACTTTTTGGCGGTCGGCACGAGGGAGGTTGTTGATGGTGATGTAAATGGCGCCACACGAGTAACCGGTGTCAAAAGGCGCAAGCCAATCGACGTTAAGTGTCAGCATCAACGAGCGTGGGTCTTCAACAAAGGTGGTATTGTTGGAATCCTGGAGACTGACCCATTTCATGCCATCGTACACATCGCCGAGATCTCCTGCTCTTGGAATCCGACGATTTCGCCACCCAAGGATTTTGTCCTCGAAACCTTGACGCATGAAGAACCTTTTCAGGGCTTGTTGTAAGGGATGGTAAGTATATTCTTTAATAGGGGAGCGACGGTTGTTGGTGGTTGTTTTAAATAGAGGTGTATTGCAAGAATCTCCGTCGATTATGCTGCTTGGCTTGGTGCATCGCTCGTGCAACGTTGGTGACGGCAGATATATGGCGTGGCATTTGCTGCAGGCAACATATTTTCGCAGATCCTGTGTCAACCGGTTAAAGCCAATAGCTTGTCGTATCCCAGCAATTGTAGACGGAATAATGGTGTTTTCGGGGAGGATGTGAAGGCCGGCGAACAAGGTAATGATGAATGTGATCAGCATGGATGCGACACGCTCGGATAGGTGGTGGAGTTGGAATAAACAAATGAAGATGAAGACGAATATCAATGGTTGTGGGACGGAATCGAGCGGGTTTGTTGCGGCTAGGATTGTTGGCGGTTCATCTATTGCATAGCAGTTATTAACCCTGATATTTTTTCCACATTATTTCTAGCACCATTACTACCACTAACCTGCTGTATCATCTTCGACTACATTATCGAATTCGACGTCGTCAGCCTGGTACATCAATTCATCGTCATCTCTTTCTTGATCCGCTACTGGTTGGTCACCTCCAAATGATTCATACGGCAAGGTTACACCGGAATCCGCCGCAGCTTCAACAACTAGATTCCAACAAGGAACACACAATCAGTTCAACAAAGCGCAACACAGTGCAACATCGCAACTCACAATCAATATCATCAACAAAATTACCATCATCAAATACGTCGGCGTTATGATCAGGCAGCTGTGGATCATCGACTTCCATCTGCATATCGCCCCCATCCACCATCGGCAGAGTTTGATCTACATATGGCGGATCAGTATAATGCAACATTTGATACGAGCGTAAAAACTATTCTGTGAAAGCTCTGCTACCGTACCGTTGATTTCCTGCTGTAAATTATACTGTTCGTCAGCCCTGACATGATCAGTATACGCTCTCAGAGTGACTCGACGGTATCCCTCCGGATGTGCCCGACAATTTCGACAAAAGCATAACATGAACTCGCCGTTCAAGTTGGACATCGTCAAGGAAACAAGGGTACGTGAAGAATATCAGTGGTGGTGTAATAAGTCTGTTGCTTTCTTCGCTCTCTTTTATATCTTTTTCTAACAATCAATTCTTTATCTATATTATAGCACTCATCGTTACGGTGCAGACGCATCAGACTACTTCATTATTATTTTAATTTGCACATTGGCGCTACGCGCATGTTTTCGACCACGTTATTGATTGTTCCTCAGGAAATATCTTGGCGCCACGAGCGCATGATAACAGCGGTATCAACATCACTACTTATTTTTTTATTTATATTAATATAAGCTTCTTGGCAGTATGCTCACGTTGCTAACCACCAATTTATCGATCCTTTCTCAAGAAGCATCTTGGCGACATAAGCACATGATAATACCAAACGTTTTTTTTCTACGTATGAACGTTACTGATCACTTTTAATTATTGTTAATTTAGGCATGAGCACATGTTGCTAGCAAACAAAAGATCGTGGCAGCACAAATACACCATCGAGCAATCGGGTGCCCATATACGTTACTACCCAACGTCCTTCTCTGCGTCGCGTGCTGTTATTAACGAAGTATTCGGTATGTCTTTACATCAGATTATTTATAGAAAAGGAGTCTGTAATAAAATATCAAATGAAATATTTGTATCTGATTTTCGAGGCTACGTGAGCGCATAAGGTTGAGTAGCCTTTTTCTGATAAACCAAAACATTTCTCTCTACTGGTGCCTCGTGAAAAGGTTGTCTTTCATTTCTTCCTTCACGCACTCTTCCTCCCAAATCGATGCGCCGTCTCTTCGCATTGCCTTTCAGACGGCACCATTTCGATCCAATTCACTTTCTCACATTCTGTTAATCAGCGACGCGCAACCATTCTAATTCCGTTACTGGCAACTTCCGATTACACCATTCAGAAAGAAAGCTGCAAAAGTCAATGTGCTAATTACCAACTTTTAACTCAAAATTTGAGGTCTTACGAACTCTGCAAGTTTAACGTTAAAATCGCCTGGCAAAAATAGTGGTGGTAATGAAAAATGACCCCATCTACCATTTACTTTCAGATAAAAATGCTCTTCTATTTTGCAAATGTGCGGCGTCTTCGTTACTTTGGTACTACTTCCTGCTTTGCATATCAGGTGCTGGACTTCTCTCTTGGCCCTGTTCTACAGCATAATGTTTCTTGTAACAGAATAAAATAAAAGTATTTGCAGCTGCTTCCATATATGTTGCCCATCGCTTGACTACTTTATGTTCTTTTTCTTTTTTGATGTGTCCCCTTAATATAAAAGGGGAAGGAGTGCCCGCTTCCTTTGAGCAGGTCATTTCAACAATAAGTCAATAGCGGCAGCTTTTGTATAAACGGTTGAACGATGACTATGCTATCCGGACTCTCTTCAGAAGCGGCTTTTCTTTATTTTCTTTTTTCTTTTATTGCTTAGCATGTTGCAAAATCATACTCCTTGAGTACGTCTGCTGCAGCAACTATGAAAAAACCCGCCCAGATTGAAATCCGTGTCCCCACTCCAATCAATATTATTGCAACCCTCAACCGCTTTTTCTCCTCCTGTGACCCCTTTGCTTGATAAAAAGTATACATTCCCTGAACAGGTACCCCTAATATACTGTCGAGACCTTTGCATCTGGCAAGAGCTTTTTCTTTATTAGCTTGTGGTGGCACCCCCAATTTTGAATGAAGCTGCCTTGAAGTTGCTGCTTTTCCACTTGTAACCTTCATGCTTCACATAGATGTCTACCCCCATATATTGGAAAATATCTTGTATTTTTTGATTTTTCACTTGCAGCCCTTCTGTCCCCCCTTCAAAACTTTGGGGTACTGGCTTCCCCCATCTCCCAACTTCAATTTATTGAAAATCCATAACTTTGAAAAGTTATGGATACCTCTCTACGGGCGCAGTGTCGGAGGCCTCCAATTTTGGTAACGGCTTCTCCGATGGGAAGGCCTCCGTGGTGGCTCGCTCGGATCGATATAAAAGGAAACTGTCACTTCATGAATAATAAAAGATTGAAAGAAAAATACACCTCTATTTTTCATCTATTCTATCTGCTTTTATCAAAAAATGAACAATATTCCACCATCAGCTATTATTCGCAATCGCGTTGTTATTCATGCAACACCTCGGGGTATGTACAGAAAAGGAAGTTTCTCGGCGCGTTGCGCCTTTATCTCGATCCGAGTAGAGAGGATTTTAAATTTTTGCAAAACTGTTTTGGGTTCTCTGTTCGGAGCGAAATGAGAGCAACCTAACTCCCATCACACTCTATACTAGAACCTACCCACTACCCACACACATTAACCTTGATAAGAAAATTAGAGTACTCAGTACTCCACATCACATCCTATTACCTCACACTAATGAGAGTACTCCGTACTCCACCACACGCACCCACCCGGAATCGAACTCTGGTCAGCTCGAGCAAAAGACTCACGCCTTACACACTACACCACACGCACACCTTTGTTTGATATTGGATTTTTTGCCTGAGGTACCACCAGGATGTAGCGGGACCCTAAAAAAAGGTGCCAGAAAAGTTATATTTATATAATAACTGGCTTGTGGCAGCCAAGCGTTCATAGCGACGTTGCTTTTTGATTCTTCGATGTCGGCTCTTCCTATCATACTGAAGCAGAATTCAGTAAGCGTTGGATTGTTCACCCACTAATAGGGAACGTGAGCTGGGTTTAGACCGTCGTGAGACAGGTTAGTTTTACCCTACTGATGGATTGATATCCCAACAGTAATTGAAGTTAGTACGAGAGGAACCCTTCATTCAGATAATTGGTATATGCGGCTGGTTGAAAGGCCAATGCCGCGAAGCTACCATCTGCTGGATAATGGCTGAACGCCTCTAAGTCAGAATCCATGCTGGAAAGGATATCCTATGTGTGTCAACGTGCCAGAATGGTACAAATAAAGGCCTTATGGTCTTGAAAACCTACATGTGCTTGGTTCTGTCTACGGAAAGGTAGGCTTTGCCGGTGCTTATGACAATTATTAGCGTTGAGACGTTTGATCTCAAGCAGACGACTTATAGTTGACGGGGTATTGTACTTACAAGAGTAGCCACTGTAGCTGCGATGTAATGAGATTAAGCCCTTGTCATTGAATTTGCTCCTCTTCTGAGGGCACATTCAATAGCCATTGATTGAGAGATTTGAAAGGTTCTCTAAGGTTTCTTTTTCACTAAAATCTTTATAGTCGGGCAGCGTTGGTTATACTAGCTTTGATTGCTGGTCTAAGCAAAAGTTGGATGTAGGGTACTTGGTATAAAACAGCTTCGCTAGTATACTAGCGGACTTAGAGCTTTAAGTGTCAATCGCCTGAGTGAAGGTAAATATGATCACGATACACTAGGTCTAATTTTTTATTTGGTTATTAATCAGAGTCAGAGTTTACATCTATTGGTCTTCTATATTGAATTCTAGAGGAAGCCCGGGAGCTATCAGCACTAGGAGCTGGTGGGGTAATTTCATCTAGGAAAGTTCGAGCTTGGGAGAGAGTAACACCATCAGGCAACAAGGAAACAATCTGTTCAGCCCGAAGAGCAGGATCCCTACGGATGATGGTATCAATAAATGGTTGGAGTCTTGACAAAAGGTCTGTGGCGATTGCTCCGGAATTTACAACGAGTTGGCTTTGTTCGATTGCTGCTAATAGGATATGTTGGTTTGGCGTCAATTGGGTCATTTGCTGCGCATCTTGAAGTAGGTTTGCAGCTCTAAGGCCGTTGATGACCTCAGTAGCAGAGACATCCATGTTCGAACTTTCGATACCAGAACCAGTTACTGTTAACGAAACCCTCGAGTCTAACCGCATTCTTTGGGCGATGACAGCTAGACTGGTTGCTCGGACACCTCTAGAATTGGTATATGTATCCACTCGAAGTCGGCCTTGGACAATGATAGAGGTACCTTCAGATAAATCATTTTCCATGAGGAACCGCAAAAGCCTAGGCAGACCAACATTGACCCGAAAATAGACACGATCAGCATAGACGGAAACTACAGCAGAAGGCTGGTCAACCATGGTATCATCAACCATCCTTTGCCTATTTCTAAAGACTGGATCCCTGGAGACAACGCCTTGGATAACGCAAGTTACAACCATTTGATCTATAAAACAAAACCAAGATTAAGGATTGCCATACTTCAATGCAAGGAGCCTTGGAAAAAATCATATACAACAATTAGATGATATACATACTAGAGTTCTTTGGTAATGTAATAACAGTATTGAAGAATACGCTTTACAGGGTTGGGATCAATGGGTATTTATATACAAAACCTGAGCGCAAGGCCATTGACTAATTATTTATTCTAGATTTGCTATTCAGGGACTACTGATATCGTTGTTGCCGGATTTGCGATTTAGAGGATATCAAGGCCAAACCTTTGTTCTTATTAGACAAACAAGCCATCATAATCGAAATCCAGTCAACACAAAGGACAAATTTTTGTCCTTGGAAAGCAGGAGCAACCATTGATTTGCTGGAAACACCAAAGGTCTACTTTTTGTCCTCAGTCAGATGTTCACCATTCGCTTATCAGATAAGCTGATTTTTTTATGGAAGCTAAGCAAAGTTTTGTGCATGGGAAAAAAACAACTCTAAATTTTTGTCCTTTGGAAAATGAGGAGGACAATTTTTTGTCCTGTAGAAAATAAGCAGGACAATTTTTTGTCCTGTGGAAAATAAGCAGGACAATTTTTTGTCCTCTTTCAAAAATAACAGTCCGGTTTTTTGTGTTTTGTAGGACAAACGATGAACTCTAACGTCAGGCCTCGTTTATAAAAAGGGGTCATTGAGGTAAGCCTTTATTCTTCATTCTATCAGATTGACTTTTTTTTTTTCCTTTGCCATTAACAATGAACACCCCTTCGCCTTCTCACGATTACTTCCAACAACAGCCTATCAACAACAACAACAACAACTCGTTTGTGCAGTCTTTGCAATCGTCTGGTATTGTTTGCTTGGTTTTATTATTTATGTACTTGAAATTTTGAAGCAGCTCAGGCTGAATCCTTGTACTTTTTTTTATTTTTTTATTAGATGACAAGACTTTCATTGATGCCATCACTGATGAGATTAATAGACGCGGCATCCATCTTTTTCAAGACCGTGAAGACCATTTATTACGTCTTGGTTTTGAGACAGACATCATTGGTCAAAATGGCCAGCCATTAGTTATGGTTGCTGATAATGCCATCCAACTGGATGAGCATTTTGTGGTATGTATAATTCTGTTTTCTTCATTCTCATTGCCTTTTTCTTTATAAGAAAACATTGTAGTAAATGACAGTTTGCATATAAATTATTTTGTAGTTTCCTGAGGAGATCCCAGTTTCTCCTTCCAGCATTGTAGAAGAACCTTTGGCTCCTGGCTCACCTGAGCTAACCCCTACCAGTTCTGATGCCATTCCTTCTGTTGGGCCCTCTTCTAGGCAAGTTCGCCGCCGCTCTTCCCCTTCAGACAGGTCTGAAGGCACAACTGCCAAAAGACAGGTACCTATTTATCTTTTACAATCCATATGTTGGTCATTATTCAAAGCCTGACTTTTGCCAATGATCCAATTGTTATAGAAGCTGTTTGATCCTACAGCTTATGTCAATGGCCAGTTTGAAGGGGTTGACATCTCTAATTCAATTGGAATGACTATCAAGGCATTCTATATGCAACGTTTGTCTCCTGCGTCCCTGGTGTGTCCTTTGCCCTGTACCTCTTTGGAACAAGGGTTGGCATTCTTCCAAAATGATGGCGTTAAGACCATGTTCCTAGGCCGCCGAAAGGTTAAGCTTATGGAACATGTCTTTTACATCAACGTCTTCATTATTGGAAGAATGCTTATACAAGAACGCCAAGTAAACTCGTACAAGCACTTTCTCTAGCATTTGATTTCTGGTAACCTTTTTACTAATTTACATAGAGAACTGTTTATTAACTGTTCATTTTTTTTATAGCTCCTGCCATCTGGCCTACTGGGGAAAGTGCCAACCTGAAGTACTTGGTCCAAAAGCTAAAAGGAGCCAATAGATTGTTGTACTTGGTTAAGGAAGTAGGAAGGCCCATGATCCTACTTCCTAACGAAATCAACATCATTGAGCTGATCAATGTAAGATTTAGAGGCCTTCTTCTTTTGCTTATGAACAATCATATAGGGAAAGCTGACAACGTTTTTATTAGATGCCAACGCCATCTTTCATGCTCCTTGTCCAAGAGCTCAAGACAAGGCGCATTTTCCGTCTGCTGCCCCCCCCAAGTAGCTGAATCCTTAGGAGAAGTGGAGGGCTTCTTATCATCAGTAGAAGCCCTGGCAGATTTCATTGACCAGAGCTTTTTATAAGCTCTTGTTCATCCATCCTTTCCTTTCTTTTTGCTTTTCCTTGTCCTCTCCTTTCTTATTCCTTCCTTATGTTTGCTCATCCTTTTCATTCTTTCATCATGCTGCATTGATCCCTTTGTCTACCTTCATATTGCTCCATTCCTTTTCTTATCATATCATAAAAACCGCCTATGCCTGCCTCTTTTTCAGTTCTTCTATATGCTTCTTTATTATTATATGCCCTCCTTTGTTTGTATTATGTTGATGTCTTTGTATATGTGCCTTTCTTTCTTTTTTTCCTTGTATGCTATTTCTTTTTTGTTCTTTTTCATGTTCATGGCTATGCTTTTTCATTTCAGAAAAGTATAAATACAATAAATATGTTTATGTCTTATGCCTATTATCTCATCTTCAAAAATGCCTTTGACACACACTGAAAAAACCGTTTTCTTCAAGTATGATGGATTGACGTTTGAAGGAAATCGATTGACAATGATAAGAGGATTTGTGGTTGAACAAGAGTAAGTAATCAGAAGTGTTAATATCTTTGGGTTCGGGATTGAAAAAGAATGATGCGATCTCAATACAAAGCATCATTTGGGATTTGAAAGCATAAAGTAAACAGCTTTGGCTAGCTATTGTCAAATAGCCGTTTGTGAAAAAGCATCATGAGTATATTGATTCTGCTTACTGTTCTTTTTTGTAGACGCGCAAAAAAGTTTCAAGGAACTGTTGGTCCTCTTTTACTGTATATGAACGCAATGCAAAACGTTGAACGCCACAAAACATACAAGGCTGTCATTTCTGGACAGCTTTCGGAAAGAATACTGTTTGCAGATGTCAATGATTGGCATCCTATCAGTACAATAAAAGCAACGATTACATCGATACAAGAGCCACAAGAAGAAACAGATCTTCCGATTGCAATAGCAAATCGATTTGCAACTGTCAGTGCGTCTAGCATTACAGATCCTGGTTTTGAAAACCATGAGGTAACAACAACCGATCTACATTTCCGTATGGCTGGTGGAGCAACCATGATAAGACGACGGTCAAGAGAAGAAGATGAAAATAATAATCGGCAAGACAAACGAAGACGAATTGATGATGAAAACGACACGATATTGTCAAATGGCATAGATGAGGAGCAGGATGAAAACGTTGTAGAAGATGAGGACATGTATGAAGAGCGCAATGATTACATTTACAATATTTAATGGTAATAAAGTAAAACCTTTGGGCCTCCTTTCAGTCCGGCTGAAAAAGTGAAGAGCATAACCCAAATTAATCTGGGATGCTAATAGCTTCTTTTCTGCTTTGCTTTGTCAACAGTACATATAAGAGAGGATGTGATGAAACAAATTTTTCAATTATTATTGGGCATAACGATCTCTGAGGGTACGAATAAAATTGCGACAAAGGGAATTGACAGGATTACAACGTTTAACAGTATTGAGGGGATCTCCATCTGGTAAAACAAGCAAAACGTCACTGAAAGATTTAACTCTTGTTAAAGCAACATACAACAATCCGTGTGCAAAGAATTCTCCAAGGAAAACGGCAACTTTTGGAAGAGTAAGACTTTGAACCTTTTGGATCGTCAGAGCATAAGCCAATGTCAATGGGAATTGCGTTCGTTCATAACCAGTAAAAGGGATATCACGAGTTATTCGAAAAACAGGAAGCGTTTCTTCAGGGTTGGATATTTTTTGTATAGTAATCATGTCATCTGACAAGGAATGAATTTTGCATAATGTTCCATTGACCCATCCGTTTTCAACACTTATGTTTTCCAAAAGCATAACCTGTGCATCAACCTTTACATCAAGGACCTATAAAGAATTCATTCATTAGAACGGTCATTGTCTATTTCAAAGTAACACATGTGTTTACGTTTATCTATAGCTAATGAAACAATGATTCAAAAGAATTATGAAGCCTTTCACTTACAGCTGGCAAATACGTTTTCTCCAAAGCATTCATGGCTACCTGTCCCATTCCATCTCGCTTATCAAGAGAACGATATGATTGCAATTGACCAGGGCATCGCCTAAGTTTTTCAGTGTTGAAATTCTTTACCGCATCATTTGTTGGAGCAACCATAACGGTTCCTAATGGTACTTCATTCAAAGAAATTGTCCTACTTGAAAGAAGATCATAATCAGTAGGAACTTGCAATTCATCCAAACGCAAACGCTCTAGAAATCTGAAAAACGTCAAATCTGTTTGTCTGCAAGAATCAACAAGCTGTGTGATTTGTGTTTCTTTGAAAAATTCGGATCGGAAAAGAGGAGTACTGTTGTCACCAAAAGGCATGATTTGTGCAAAGTCACCAAACAGACAAACAGGAATACCTCCCCATGGCAAATTACGCTTCGTTCCTATGCGCATTGCTCTATCAAGATCATCCATCATTTCCGCTGGGATCATGCTTATTTCATCTATCAAAAAAACAGATCGAGGATTTTCTTTAACAAACTCATCGATACGAATGTGATTCACCTTTTGTTCTATATGCGAAATGCCAAAGAATCGATGGATCGTCATTCCTTTGATCGTATGTGCTGCTACACCCGTAAACGCAAGCCTGACAACTCGATATCGCAATCCAGCAAAGAACATTGCAATTGTTTCCAGTACAAAACTTTTCCCAGTACCAGCACTGCCGTGAATCAACGTCGGAATGCAATCGTCCATATTTTCTAATGCAAAACTATAAGCATCATACTGAGAGTTAGTAAATTGATCCATTCTTTGTGATGTTTGCCTTCTTAGCTCATCCAAATCAACTCCATCAGTATGATTCCATTGATTAATCGCGTTTAAGTTGGCATCCTCTGCCAATCTTGCCAAAGCATCTAGAGCTGCACCCTCTGCTGTACTTGATGTCAAAGGAGAAAGCTTGCCGATCGAAACAAGATGGTCATGACATCCTATAGATCAAAAACATTAGCATCAATGCCAACAGCATAAACAGGACAATACGAATATGTTGACCATTGTTATAATAGAAACTGCGTTGCTATAATCAAATGTAAACGATTGTATAATTGACTTTACCTCTATACGTACGATGTGTTTCCAAGTCAAACACTTCAGACATATTCCTGAAAGCAACATTTAATAACACCCTTTGATAGAAAAACGGTTCTCCTGATGAAACTGGTAAATGACGTGTTCGGTACAAGCAAGGCTCCTTTCTCTTCACCCAAAATGTGTTCTCCAAACCACGTTTTGCATTTCTAGCAGATTGTGCTGCTGATTTATAATTGCGATAAAATTCCGGAAGCGTCATCATATTGCATTCATCGTCAGTTGGTCGCAAGTAGTATTTCTCTATTGAGCATTGAAAGCAAAACAAGATTGATTGATCAACATCCAATCGATTGCGTGAAGGACAAATTCATAACGTTCAAACAATAGCAACACATATCTGGTTGTGAGGAAAACAAATGAGCAAACACATTACCTTGTTGTGTTCGATATGTGATTTCCGGAAATCTAGGATTCATGTCTTTCTTTCTTTTAATCACGCGTCTTTGATTCCCAGGAAGATTTGTATCAACAAATATAACATCAACCGAACTTTCCTGTTTGTGCCATCCCATAATATCGTATACAGCTTCAACGACACCCATTTTTCTTGCTCGGAAATGGCCAATTGTGTTATTGACAAAGCCTGATGCATCTACAATTTCATGTGTTCTACCAGTATCAAATTTCGTTAGATATTTGCACAAATATGACAATGCCTTGTATCCGCGATTAAGTTGAATATCCATATTGCATTTCATCAATGACAAAAGATATGGATTATACGGATTCACATATAAGCTACGTAAATCGCGTGGATAAATATACTTATCACCATCAAAATGAACCGTTTCACTTGGCATTTGAGGATAGCCAAAACGGCAATCTCCAGGACCACAATAAGAAGTACAGCGATGGATCTGATGCTTCTTTACCAATTCCCTAAGAGGATTTCCTTCCGCTGGCATCTGGGCAACAATAAGATTTGATTCCTCGAGTTCTTCTACGGTCTTGTTTGTCCACAGAATAACATGCATATGAGGAGAACCTCTGGCTTGTAGTTCCATCACATAATAAAACGCTTTGATACCACCAACACGTCTAGCAAACGCTTTTCTAATAATGTTTTGCCAAAAGCGCGTCCATTTCCTATGAAAATGCAAACAAAACAAAACAGGATCCTCCCATGGATGTTCTGTATTAGTAGCATTAGTGTATTCTTCGGCAAAATCATTACAGGTGAACGTCAAAAACATTTGGGGAGAACCGTATTCCCTGAACATCGCCATAAGATCAAGAAAGCTCTTTCTCTTGAAAGCATAAGAAGACCGCACAGTATAAGGAATAGCCGATGTCACATCTTCACGAACGTATTGCTTATTCGTTTCCGGGTCGATCTCATAAAGATTTTCCAAGTTAATCTCTCCCAAATATCTTTGATGAATCACTCTTGTCGAATACGAATGCACTGCCAATTTTTCAAGCATATCAGCAATAAAAAAGATATATTGAACTGACCTTCCAAATCGCCGATCGCTATGAAGCAATAAAAGCTTTGCAACTTTTTTTAATGTCGTTTCATTCGAGCCAAGCTGCCAAATCGTTTGGCCATTTGTAAAGAGCCAAGGAAAGCAGAGACACAACAGGTTTGGATCGCTATACATAATCTTGCTGCGGCCATCTGTTCCTATAGACAATTTTGAAATGTGAGCATCATGATCACCAGCTGCTGGAGCTATATTATCAATATCCCTCGCCATATTGACATCCCAACCCATTGTTCTCATTTGAGACGATACATCCTTAACGAAAAAGTTCACCATCTGTTGCTGAATTGATGGCGTGCTATAATCTTGAAGAACACGATTCCCTGCCTTCAATAACTCCCATGCTTCTTTGACCTTTGTAACGTTAATCACTACAGATCCATCAAAACAACAATCATTATTTTCACCTATTGCATAATCATACTCTTTCACAAACGCATTTATGCCATACCTGCTCTTTGTTCTTCACCATATACCAATCCCATTTGGCCATCAAATATCAAAGGAGCATATTCATAATTATAACGTGTAGACACCGCCCCTGTCATTTGGAAATGGCCAAGACTTGAAGCATGTCTGCTTCTACCACGTGTTACTTCTGTCATTAACTTGATTGGAGACACGCATGCTAATTCCCTGTAATTCATCTCCTTTGTAATATCAATGATATCACCAGGATAAGGCAAAACACGGCTTTCTCTCTTTGATTCAATAAGGCATTCTTTACAAACAACAAGACAACCATCACGTTCAATAGCAGGGATTTTCCATTCTTCACAATTCACATCATTCTCCCAATCCCAATTCTCCAATGACTTAGCTTCATTATCATATAACACTGTGCAACAGAATGCACAATAAAAGATTGCCGCTTTCATGCTTTGTGCATCAAAAGCAGTAATAGAATCTCTCTCATAACGGCTAAGAGAGAGAACCCGATTGATGCGTTCGTACCAACGATTATCCATGGTGTTTTGATGAAAGCAAAAAATAAAATGCAGTTCCCCTTTTTATATCGCACCGATTTCAGAAGCACCATCAGTTCATTCAACTTACTTCCGTCATCACATCTTATTTGCTTTACATCCTTTGTTCATTACATCATCGCAAATGGTATTCATCGTGTACTGCCTCTTATTGATTTCTTTTCTTCTCACAGAACAAACATCCTTATCAAACATCACTACTTTTCATTATCTGGGACAAACTTTTTGTACTCTAAGCATCATATCACATATGCTCCCTTCACAAAGCCTTCATCATGTGCTCTCACTTATACAAAAAGACAGGACAAATTTTTGTCCTCAGTGCCAAAAAAACAGTCCGATGCATTTCAATCCATTGAACAAAAGAAACGAAAGATCGTTTTTTACTCATCACATCTGCTCCAGAATCGAAACAATAAACGTGCTTGATTACTGATGATCCAAAAAAGGAACGACACACAGCTGAGGTATAATCACTAGATACTAATATCAACAATTTTCACATTTGCTCAAGGACAAAAATTTGTCCTAGCAGTTTTAGCTAGGTCTCTGGCTTTGGCCGGGAAAATTTTTAGCCAGGTGCCAGATAAATTATATATTATAATAACTGGCTTGTGGCAGCCAAGCGTTCATAGCGACGTTGCTTTTTGATTCTTCGATGTCGGCTCTTCCTATCATACTGAAGCAGAATTCAGTAAGCGTTGGATTGTTCACCCACTAATAGGGAACGTGAGCTGGGTTTAGACCGTCGTGAGACAGGTTAGTTTTACCCTACTGATGGATTGATATCCCAACAGTAATTGAAGTTAGTACGAGAGGAACCCTTCATTCAGATAATTGGTATATGCGGCTGGTTGAAAGGCCAATGCCGCGAAGCTACCATCTGCTGGATAATGGCTGAACGCCTCTAAGTCAGAATCCATGCTGGAAAGGATATCCTATGTGTGTCAACGTGCCAGAATGGTACAAATAAAGGCCTTATGGTCTTGAAAACCTACATGTGCTTGGTTCTGTCTACGGAAAGGTAGGCTTTGCCGGTGCTTATGATAATTATTAGCGTTGAGACGTTTGATCACAAGCAGACGACTTGATGTTGACGGGGTATTGTACGTACTAGAGTAGCCTTTGTTGCTACGATGTACTGAGATTAAGCCCTTGTCATTGAATTTGCTCCTCTTCTGAGGGCACATTCAATAGCCAATTCAATGGAAAGGTTGATAGAGTCTTATACTATACTTTTTTTCCTTGCGGTATTATCGTCGGGCATTTTGTCTCTAGATCTTTTTTTTACTCTAAGGCTTTTCCGTCGGGCATTTACTGTCTCTTGGACAAGACATAGGCAAACATCCTTGGATAAAAGATTGTCAGGTCTTCAGAGTTCAAAGCTCAGGTAGACCAAGTTCAAGAAAACCTGGTTGTAGTTAACTCTAAGGCTCTTGTCGGGCAGGTGTGCACTTGAGAGTATAGAGGACACTATGGGAAGCTAGGATAAAGCCCTAGGTTATCTGAGGATAAAGCCTTAGGGTATCTAAGGATAGAGCCTTAGGGTACCTGAAGCTGAAGCCCTAGGTTATCTGAGGATAGAGCCCTAGGGTATCTAAGGATAGAGCCCTAGGGTATCTGAAGCTGAAGCTCTAGGGTACTGAGGATAGGTCTTAGGGTATCTAAGGATAAAGCTCTAGGTTATCTGAGGATAAAGCCCTAGGGTATCTAAGGATAGAGCCCTAGGTTATCTGAGGCTGAAGCCCTAGGGTATCTGAGGATAGAGTCCCAGGGTATCTGAGGATAGAGCCCTAGGTTATCTGAGGATAAAGCCCTAGGTTATCTGAAGATAGAGCCCCAGGGTATCTGAGGATAGAGCCCAGGGTATCTGAGGATAAAGCTCTAGGTTATCTGAGGATAAAGCTCTAGGTTATCTGAGGATAAAGCTCTAGGTTATCTGAGGCTGAAGCCCTAGGGTATCTGAGGATAGAGCTCTAAGGTACCTGAGGATAAAGCTCTAGGTTATCTGAGGATAAAGCTCTAGGGTATCTGAGGATAGAGCCCTAGGTATCAAGGATAGAGCTCTAGGTATCTAAGGATAGAGCCCTAGGGTATCTAAGGATAGAGCCCTAGGTTATCTGAGGCTGAAGCCCTAGGGTATCTGAGGATAGAGTCCCAGGGTATCTGAGGATAGAGCCCTAGGTTATCTGAGGATAAGCCCTAGGGTATCTGAGGATAGAGCCCTAGGTTATTGAGGATAGAGCCCTAGGTTATCTGAGGATAAAGCTCTAGGGTACCTGAGGATAGGGTCCTAGGGTATCTAAGGATAGAGCTCTAAGGTATCTAAGGATAGAGCTCTAAGGTACCTGAGGATAGAGCCCTAGGTATCCAAGGATAGAGCTCTAGGGTATCTAAGGATAGAGCCCTAGGTTATCTGAGGATAAAGCTCTAGGTTATCTGAGGATAAAGCCCTAGGTTATCTGAAGATAGAGCCCTAGGGTATCTGAGGATAGAGCCCCAGGGTATCTGAGGATAGAGCCTTAGGGTACCTGAAGCTGAAGCTCTAGGTTATCTGAGGATAGGGTCCTAGGGTATCTAAGGATAGAGCTCTAGGGTACCTGAGGATAAAGCTCTAGGTTATCTGAGGATAAAGCTCTATGATATCTGAGGATAAGCTCTATGATATCTGAGGATAGAGCCCTAGGTATCTAAGGATAGAGCCCTAGGGTATCTAAGGATAGAGCCCTAGGGTATCTAAGGATAGAGCCCTAGGGTATCTAGGGATAGAGCCCTAGGGTATCTAAGGATAGAGCCCTAGGTTATCTGAGGCTGAAGCCCTAGGGTATCTGAGGATAGAGTCCCAGGGTATCTGAGGATAGAGTCCCAGGGTATCTGAAGATAGATCCCTAGGTTATCTGAGGATAAAGCCCTAGGGTATCTGAGGATAGAGCCCTAGGTTATTTGAGGATAGAGCCCTAGGTTATCTGAGGTTAAAGCTCTAGGTTATCTGAGGATAAAGCCCTAGGGTATCTGAGGATAGAGCCCCAGGGTACCTGAGGATAGGGTCCAGGGTACCTGAGGATAGGGTCCTAGGGTATCTGAGGATAGAGTCCCAGGGTATCTGAGGATAGAGCCCTAGATTATCTGAGGATAAAGCCCTAGGGTATCTGAGGATAGAGCCCCAGGGTACCTGAGGATAGGGACCTAGGGTACCTGAGGCTGAAGCCCTAGGGTATCTGAGGATAGAGTCCCAGGGTATCTGAGGCTGAAGCCCCAGGGTACCTGAGGATAGGGTCCTAGGGTATCTAAGGATAGAGCTCTAGGGTACCTGAGGCTGAAGGTCTGGGGTAAACTAGGACAGAGGCCCCTATGTGAGTTAGCATAGAGGTCTAGGGTGACTAGGATAGAGGTCCCTATGGAAGTTAGCATAGAGCTTTTTCTAATGCTCAGAGGAAGAGAGAATGCCCTAGTCATGGTCTTTTAAAAAGATCATGGCTAGGGCTTTTTTTTATGTCAGTTTTTTGAGAGAATGCCCTAGTCATGGTCTTTGAAAGATCATGGCTAGGGCTTTTTTTTATGTCGATTTTTGAAGTTGTTGTTAGAGGATTACAAAAATTAGCCATACAGCATCAAACATACAACATTTACTTTAACTTACGGCCATACAACAGGGAATATACCGGATCCCGTCCGATCTCCGCAGTCAAGCCCTGTCTGGCCTGGTCAGTACTATGGTGGGGGACCACATGGGAATACCAGGTGCTGTAAGTTTTTGCTTTTTTTTAGTCTTTTAGTCTTTTAGTCTCTTAGTCTTTTGATCTTTTATTGCAAATTCAATAAACTTAATATTTTGCATTCAAGCATATTATCTGGTGATAATTTCAATGACGTTTTGAGGTCCACATAAAGTTGTCTATGGAAGTTAGGATAGAGCCCTATGCTACGAGAGCATAGAGTTGTCTATGGAAGTTATGATAGAGAGAGATTGAAGGAATTGATAGAGAAGTTTTGGGAATAGAAGAGGAAAGTAAGAAAGGATGGTTTGTCGACATTGTGTTTCTATATAGTGTGGGGTAAATAGTGTTTTGGGGCTGATATTTTGTGGGAAAGATGAAGATGCAGAGGGATAAATGTGTATGAAATGTAAAAGATAGGTGTTGCAAGTAAAAGTGTATAGTTAAGCAATATATGTATAACGGTTATCGTCAGGTATTGGAAACGATGTGTGCGATCTCGTTGGGTGCATTCTAGCACGAGTTATTTGATAGAGTGGTGTACGTCTATAGTCTTTGGCATAGAGGTGTCTATGCTGGTTAGCATAGAGGTGTCTATGCTGATTAGCATAGAGCTTATGATAGGGCTCTATGCTAAGCTCTATGCTAAGCGGTATGAGAAAAAAAACTATTTTGTGATTCTGAAACATACAAAATATTGCCACAAACGAGCGCTACACAACCATGTAAAAGAAAGTAAAAAAATGTTTAAAAGAAAAATCCGTATGGATCCTTAGCATAGAGCTTAGCATAGAGCTTAGCATAGAGAAAAATGAAAATAATCTCATTTCGCATAAACGGCATATTGTGTGATTTTGAACATACAAATGTAGCCACAAACAAGCGCTACAAACCATGTAAAGAAAGTAAAATAGGCCTCAAAATGTTTGAAAGAAAAATCTGTATGGATCCTTAGCATAGAGGTTAGCATAGAGGTTAGCATAGAGGTTAGCATAGAGCTTAGCATAGAGGTTAGCATAGAGCTTAGCATAGAGAAAAATGAAAATTAATCTCATTTCGCATAAACGGCATATTGTGTGATTTTGAAACATACAAAATGTAGCCACAAACAAGCGCTACACAACCATGTAAAAGAAAGTAAAAAAATGTTTAGAAGAAAAATCTGTATGGATCCTTAGCATAGAGCTTAGGATAGAGCTTAGCATAGAGAAAAATGAAAAATAATCTCATTTCGCATAAGCGGCATATTGTGTGATTCTGAAACATACAAAATGTAGCCACAAACAAGCGCTACACAACCATGTAAAAGAAAGTAAAAAACGGAGTTGAAAACACCTCAAAATGTTTGAAGGAAAAATCCGTATGAACCCTTAGCATAGAGCTCTATGCTAACTTACATAGGGATCCTTACGAAAATTGAGCTCAGTCCTTGTAAACGGCATATTTTTTGTTTCTGAAAGGTGGTAATTGTAGCCATGAACGAGCGCTATTTAACCATTATAAGGAGACATTTTAAAACAAACTTTGGAGCAAATGGGGACACAAAGCAAAAAACCCAAGGTGCAATGTAAGCATTCGGACATCAGTTTACTAACAAATTTTCAAAACCGTCTCATTTCTTGGAAACGGCATATTTTTGTTTCTAAAAGTGGTATTTGTAGCCACAAACGAGCGCTATCCAACCATTATAAGGAGACATTTTAAAACAAACTTTTGAGCAAATGGGACACAAAGCAAAAAACCCGAGGTGCAATGTAAGCGTTCGGACATTAGTTTACTAACAAATTTTCAAAACCGACCCTTACCTTTGGGGCAAAATGGTCGGCCGAGTACCCCACGGATATGTAAGAGGAAGGGTGATGGCGAGAGCCAAAAAAGCCTGCCTAGCTTATGTGGTTGCTAGGGTCAGACCAATGTTTGGGATATGGTCTGAAGCTTTGGGGACTGAGGGAGTAACCATGTAGATGCAGATGCATATTGGTCCAATTTGTGTACTAGGTACTCTCAGAGTTACTCGGTATTTTGGACACCAACTAGTCTTGGTTTTTGGGATTCAAGGCAGGATGTTGGAGGTTGTGTGTATATCTGGTCTTTGACTAGGATTAAACATAGCTATTTGGGTGCAACCTTGTGGACGAGTCTCTATTGACTTGAAAACATAGGATCATCCTTCGAATTGGTTATTTGATATTGCCTTCAGGTACTATCATATCAACCAGTCGAGAAACCTTGTAGTCTGGCAAATGGTGAAACACTTGGATTCGGAAGTCTGAAGGTCTAAACAGCCTTGGGATTAAAGAATTCAATAGGGAACATAAATTCATTTGGTATGCCAAACATACTTGTATGTAAGGAGCCTGGGGAATCGAGAGATTGGTACCTTGGGTACCTGAGGTCTGTAGTGGACCTTGGGAAAAGCCTTATGAAATTAGTTACCTGGTTGATCCTGCCAGTAGTCATATGCTTGTCTCAAAGATTAAGCCATGCATGTCTAAGTACTAGCATTAATACTGTGAAACTGCGAATGGCTCATTAAATCAGTTATGATCTACTTGGCATTCTAACTGCTTTGCTGCTGGATAACCGCGGTAATTCTGGAGCTAATACATGTGTATATAACGGTGTATGCCGTTGCGTATATTAGATAAAAACCAACCTGGGGTAAAACCTAGTCTTTGGTCGCTCATAGTATCCTTGCCGGTCTTCAGTTTAATCTGGAGCCAGTTCATTCGATTTTCTGCCCTATCATTGCTTTTGATTGCACGATCGAGGCGTGCAATGGCTTCTACGGGTAACGGGGAATAAGGGTTCGATTCCGGAGAGGGAGCCTGAGAAACGGCTACCACATCCAAGGAAGGCAGCAGGCGCGCAAATTACCCAATCCCGACACGGGGAGGTAGTGACAATAAATAACAATGCAGGGCTTTTATAGTCTTGCAATTGGAATGAGTACAATTTAAATCCTTTAACGAGGAACAATTGGAGGGCAAGTCTGGTGCCAGCAGCCGCGGTAATTCCAGCTCCAATAGCGTATACTAAAGTTGTTGCAGTTAAAACGCCCGCAGTCGAACTTTAGTCTATAGGCAGGTGTCCTAGCATTCATTTGTTGGGTACATTTTGTCTGGGACTTTTGACTGGATCTCCCTTGTCTTCGGACTTGGGGTCGAACCAGTCGATTACCATGAGCAAATCAGAGTGTTTAAAGCAGGCTTTCAAGCTTGAATGTGTTAGCATGGAATAATGAAATATGACATTTGGTCTATTTTCGTTGGTTCAAGACCAAAGTAATGATGAATAGGAGTGGTCGGGGGCATTTGTATTTGGACGCTAGAGGTGAAATTCTTGGATTGTCCAAAGACAAACTACTGCGAAAGCATTTGCCAAGGACGCTTCCGTTGATCAGGGGCTAAGGTTAGGGGATCGAAGACGATTAGATACCCCTTGCTTGGGCAAGTACCTCATCGTGGTGCTTGGGTGGAACCTATCGGGTGGGACCAGTTCGCTGCGACCATCCTTTAGAGCTAAAGCTTGTCCTAGTGGGCTACCAACCTACGATAAACAATTTAGTAGTGAGTCCGAGCAAGAACCATGTTGGCTCGCCCATGTGTTACACTACTCACTTACGACCCCGAAGTATTATCGGGCCCTTAGGGTTGCAGAATTTTTGAAGGGAGAAGCGGGGCTTTTCAGCCTGAACACCGCTTATGGGGGCACTCCCCCCAAACAAACGTTCCTGTGTCTGTGCAGCCTCATTGACTAGCGCCATCACTGGGTGGGGCCCCGGCTGGTGCGAAAGAACTGCCCAAAGAAACACCAAAAAGCCAATAGCTCTGAGGGAGAGCTCAATAAACCCCCAAGCCCACGCGAGGAGCGCATGGAGGTCGACGACCAAAATGCAGAGTCCCGCCGCAAGAGTCAGTCCGACTTGGCTACCTCGACCCCAGTCGTTGTAGCAAGCACTGGTAACGGTGCTGGCAGTTCCAGCTTTGCTGATGCTGCCCGAGAAGGCCACTCTCAAAACTCAGAGGTAGCGTACCTTCGTTAGCACTTTGCTGTTGAAGCTGCCCTGCCACGACCACTGAATGCGAATAACCTTGTAAGGCTGTTCAATTTGGTGCGTCAACGTTCACCCGGTAACCCGATTCACAGTTATGAGCTTCGGGATACCAGCGTACGTCTTCTCCTTGTTTCGAGATCCGTACAGCGTGCTGTTCTCAGCGCTCCTTTCATCATCAATCAACATCGTTTGGTTTTTGTTAATAAGTGGTCTACCGACCGCAGGGGTGCTAGACAGTATCGTCTCCAACTTTGCCCTCCTGGTTGTGATGTGCAGGCATTCGCCGACTCACTTGCACCGTATGGTAAAGTTGTTAAGGCTGAGAATGTCCGTACCCACGGTATTCTTAGCCCCAACTGGGATGTGTCCATCAAGTTGAAGATGGACCTCAAGGACATCCCCCCGTGGGTCACTATCGCTGGTCGTGGTGGATCCCGGAAGTGCCGGTCGCTCCCCCTTGATGGATGCTTCAAGTGCCGCGCCCAGGGCCATCCAAAGGAAAAGTGCCCGATGAGGGGCCCTCAACCCCCTGTTCCCCCCGTTGACGACCTTGACCGATGTATGTCGCAAATGGCGGTGTCCGAGCGTTCCTCCTCGCGTGCCCCGTCTTGTCGCTCGTCTCGCCCTTGTTCTCCTTCGCCCTCCTCGTCTCTTTCTGGTCTGGAAGAATTGGTTCAAGACCAACTTGCCTGCGAGGGGCTGCCGTTAGGTGAATCTTCGGCCTCGGCTGCTGCCTGTGCTCCTGCGCCTGCACCACCAAGTTCGCGCTCTCTTGTCGCCGCGCCCGTCCGCCAGGCAGCAGACGCGTCTCTCTCGTCCGGCCCGTACGCCCGCCGACCCCTCAAGAAACAGAAGCAGGGTAAGGGGAAAGCCCCCGCCCGCTGCCGTAGCAAGTCGCCGCGATCCCATGCCCATTCTCGGTCCCACTCGCCGCTGCCTCCTACTTCGGACGAATAGTTTTACTTTCCTTTTCTCTGTTTGTCCCTCTTTTTTGTTTGTAATAAATTTTTTATGTTTAATACACCAAACTTGAAGATTGCTTTCCTCAATATACGAGGACTTTCACATTGTTACGGTGAATCTGGGGTATTCCAGGTAGTTGCGTAATGGTTTAAGTGTATGTTTTGTAGTGAGCACCAGTAATAATATCGTTTATTACAGACGGGTTGTGAAGTGATATGAGTGTAAAGTAAGGTAAAAATGTGTATGGGTTATGTCCAAGGTTGTAAATAGTGGGGAGCTGTTGTCTTGATTAAGCTCAGTGAGTAGAAATGAGGATCAGGGATGTTACGTCTGTCCAAAATGAATGAGGAATAAGGATCAGGAATGTTACGTCTGTCCAAGTAAATGAGAAATAAGAGCAGGAATGTTACGTCTGGTCTTAATAGAAGAGTTTATTTAGCTTCAGTTATGAGCAATAAACAATATGTAAGATAAAACAAGCCGTGTTTAGGTCTTGAGTGATTGAAAACAACACTTGAAAAGTTAAGTCAAAAGTGGGAGGTAGAAATTCAATGTCTTTATTCAAATAAAATGAGGGGGTATTTATATCTTTCAAAATAATTCAATACATCTATAATAATTGAACATCAAAGATGATGCTCGAAGGTTGTGGAAAGTACTTGCATCCAATGGTTACGGATGTGGAATCAATTGGAAAGTCTAGGAATAATGCTATTATTAGCTATTCCTTGGCAGTTTGGAAGGTGCCAGAAGTTTGTAGAGTTGTTGCTGCGTAGTTATTGGATCGCTGTGTCCTTGGCTTTATGGAAAGTGCCAGAATGTTGTATTAATTGCGAGGCTGCTGTAGTAGAGCTCTTGTTGTTGTGTGATGTGATGTGCTTGATGTTTGTTATGCAGCTCTTTCTTGTATTCAGATTTTATTGAAGGGATAGTTCTCGGGGTATCAACATAACCATTGTCAACCAAAATTGGAAACGGCAAAGAACCTGATGGTTCTTTATCGTCTTCCCTTTCTCCTCTTGAGCAAATGTCATTTGGGTGATCATGATTGGGTTGTGTTCAATCATGCAAACCCTCAATGGCATAGCCAACGCCTTGCAGCCTTGCACTCTAACTCTAAGGAGTTTGGAGTTCTCCTGCAAAAACCTATGTGTGAACAGCTACACCTAGTTGTCGATCACTCCCTGGACTTTCCCCCAGGGGCGCTCGCCCTCCAGCTCACTCTCTACACCCTCTGTTTTAGAATTCTTCTAATCCACGCACCTAACCAGCTTTCACTCCAGAAGGCTCTTTTTACGCAACTTGCCTCCTTGGTGTCTACCTCTGCGGCTAACCTATATGTCATCCTTGGTGATTTTAACTG